TGCGCGGAGCGCCTCCGAGCGGCTCCTTCCTCCTCTCCTGGGGCGGTTCCGCTGTGCCGGGCGGGAGCAGCCACCCTGCTCCATGCAGCTGCTTAATTCTGTTATATCTGCACCACCCGACTAACAAGGAGGGCTCTGACTGTTCCCCAAGTGCTGCTTGGAGCCTGGGTACCAGTAACAGCCCGCAGGGAGCTGGTGCACCCCTCGCCAAAGAACGTACCCACCCTGGCCACGCACATCCGTCCTCCAGCTGGTGCTTCCCCTGGGTACTCCCCGTGCGAGACAGGGAACGAGCAGATCTGGCAGGATCCTGTAGTTCTCCTCTATGCAGCCACAAGATTAGATAATGGTCGGGCCCAGAAAGGTTTCTGCAAATACTGAGTCATTTTCACAAGCATTTGCAAAGACAGGGTTCGCTTTGGGCCTTGACACCACATTCACGATGGAGTCCAGGAAGCCAAGGGCTCCTGGTCGAGGATGTTTCAGCCCAGAATCTCGTCTGAGGGTCTTGGTAAGCGAGCTGGGCACAACTGCCTTCTGTATCAAGGGTAAGAGACAGCTGAGGGACCAGAGACGGGTGTTATTTTGAAAGAGGGAGGGTCTCCTGTGACCATCAGCAGGCACCAGACAGGCCGAGGTGCAGCGGACAAGGCAGCCCCAGCTCTCAGCTCCAAGGCCAGGAGGGCGCGCGGCACCCAGGCCATCCAAGGTGCCAAGTCACTAACCCCGTCCCCGCTGTCCCCAGGGCAGCAGTGCCTCCTGCTTTCGTGCAGATGCCACGCAGGGGCACATGGCAGCGGCTTAGTCTTGCGCACAGCCACGGACGTGCCAGGCTGCTCTCTGGTTTAACCTGAAACAGCTGGCAAGAGCTGGAGGCTCTGCGGGAGGTCACAGCCATCCTCAGCACCACAGAAATCCCTCCTTCCTCTCCCTCGATACCCAGCAGAAGTATCTATCCAGCCTGCAAACTGCAGTACACTCAGTACAGGGCTGCGCCAACCATCTATATTCCGATTTTCTGCCTCGTACCGTAGGTTTGCAGGACTCTGGCTGTCCGTTTTTATAGGGCTTAACGATTCCATTCGTTCTGCCCTTCAGCTCAATGACATCTGCGCAAACTGATTAAAGATACTGCGGCTTGAAGCCATTTTTGAAAGATACACAACATTTTTGATTTTTTTGAAATTTTTGAAAGAGCACAATAAGGTACCCCCCTGCTCTAGAGGTTCTGGGTTGTTTATCCCAGGAGATAATAAAAACTTGGCTGCACAAGCCCCTGAGCAACATGATCTCGGTAGCCCTCCTTGGACTAGAGACCTCCACAAATCCTCTCCAACCTCAAGTATTTTCTTACCTCCTGGCTCCAATTCAAGAGCGCCTGGCAGAAGCCACATTGAAAACTAAACTACAACAGCAGCAAGGGAGTCACCGATTCCCACAGTTTTCTGTCTTGACACGAATTATGAAGGTTCATAACCAAATGAGGTCTTGCTTTTAGCAAGAGGTTCTCTTGCTATCACAGAATGTGCAGGGACACTTTAAAGCTATCCCCGAATCAAGTTTGCTGGTATTTATCGTGGTAGAAAGTGTACCTTAAAAGTAGAATTATTTCCTCTCATCAGAAGAATCTGGCAGGAAGACAAAATCTATTAAAACTACAGGGAGCTTAGTAGGATTAACTTGACATAAACATTTCAAATTGGAAGCTATTAAGGATTATGAAAGAAGGTTGCCTGTCAAAATCCTTTCAGCAAACTGGCTGACGCATGGAACACACCTGTGCAGAAGCAAAGATTCCTCCCAGGAGCCTACCAAAGCACAGGGGAAACCTAGTTAATCCCATGACTCCTTCCTAACTGCCCCTGCGTCCTCAATAAAATAGAGGACTGCAGTGATGCCTGGAAGTGTGAAGTTGGATCATGGCTGGAGACAGGCAGAGTGTCCCTCAACACCAAGAATGGGAAGGGAAGAGCCTACAACCCCCCACCTATTTCAGCTTACAATTAAACCAAGAAGAAAAAGCCATCAAGCACCTGCATTCCTGGCTGTGAGGAAACACAAGATAAGCAGGACAGTCGATAGAATACGTTTAGCTGCCCTAATTAGAGAACCGCTGCTGAGGCTGCCTTTGAGAACTGCCATTGCCCCATGTCGGTGTGCGCAGAGCTCGTCGGCCCCAGGCCCATGCTGCAGCCGAGAGGACTGCCCGCTCAGCTGCCCCCCTGCTCCACACGCGGTCCCCAGAAGGGAGGATCTGCTGCTGGCATCAGG